ACCCCCCCTTGCAAGAGGCTGCCCATTTCCAGGCGTCATTAAAGAGCAATTAGCTGGAAATTAAGCTGAGAACAAGTATTGATTAGCTCATTAAGGCTGGGGGAGTCGTCTGTGGCGGTAGGAATTGCTGCCGCTCACCCTCATTATGGGCAAGGTTAAAGCTTGCGGTCAGGCAGCTCATTAAAAATGCTAGGGACCAATCGATGTCCCCAGCCCAGTGCCGCCCAGCACCTCCAGCACCCCTGGGGACACCCAGCCAATGCCTTTCGAGGATTGGCCTGTGACCTCTGGGGTGAGCCAGCTCAGGAAGGGACGGGGCATCTTTGCTCCCCTGCACCCACTGCTGCATCCTGGGCTGCCCTGCAGAGGCAGCAGTGTCACCTTTGGGCTTTTCAGCCCCCCAAAACTCACCAGCCAGGGGGTCATCTTTCTCTCCTCTCCAACCAGGGGACCCATGGGGACAGGTCCCCACTAACCCAGCAAAGGGACAGACTCTGTGGGCTCACAGCAGCACTGCCAGCCCCAAGAGAGGCCAGCCAGTGTGGCTGGTCTGCAGGACAGCACCTGAGACCTGCTCTCCACCAGACCTGAGTTTATCAGGTCTCAGCCTAGCAGTGCCAGCTTGTGTGGGTGGAGGACAGACCAAAAGGGATCAAAGGAATGGGATGAAAACAGCTGGGGACATGGGGACAGGTGAAAGACACCCGGTGTCTCTGTGCGGCTGAGTGCTGCCATGCCACTGTGCCCTGCACCCCAGCCCACAGCTCTGAGGGCTCTTGGGGTGAGCCCAGACCCTGCCTGGCCGTCCAGCCAGTCCCAGCCACCCCAAGCCCCTGTGTCTGTGGTCCCCTGTCCCATCCAGTGTCTTTCCCATCCCCATCTCTGCCTCTCGTGGCTGCCAACAGCTCAGGGCCAGCTCCTGGCCAGTGCACACACAGAGAGTGTCCCCATGCAGGCTGGTGGTGTGGGGAGGGGGGGGCAGGTGTCATCATTATTTTTGTTTTCTTTGCACTGCCCTAGATATATATTGTATTCTCAGCTAATCCCGTTCAATTACAGCACAATAAAACACATAATAAAAACGTAATTCATTTTTCCCGAGCGCTCCATCTCCCTGTGTCTTGGCAAGCTATTAAAAATTTGTCTTCATTTTTCTGGCAAGAGCCTTGTACCTTTTCATCTTTAATTTATGAGAGCAGAATAGCTACTGACAAGCCCTTATTGCGTGGCAAGGGGCTGCATTATTTATAAGCCGCCAATGGCTGGCTCAGGGGAGATATTTGCAATATGCTGGGGCCGGCAGAAGGGGACAGATCCTTGATGCGCCTGTCCCAATCCGCTCCCCCACCCTGGGTGGATGCTGGGTGCAGGTGTCCTCATGGCTGCCCCCGGGGGGACACCCCCTGCTTGGCCTCTGCCAGCTCCTGCCCGCCAGGGAAGCTGCGGCACAGGGTGGCTCTAGGCTGCCTGGTGCTCATCTCGTCAGCTGCTGCGTCTGCCCATGCTGGGCTTTGCGAGGACTCCCACTCCTCCATCCCAGCTCAGCACAGGGGCTCTGCCAAGCGTGGCTGCCCCCATCCCTTCCCTCCCTGCATGGACATCCACCGCTCCTTCCAACCACCCTCCCTGCGGGTGACACAGCTGCTGCCTGCAGGCTTGCCAGGGTCCCACGACAGCAGCTCTCCGATACCCATGCACAGAAAGCAGGATAAAAATATCCTCGCTGGAGAGGCAGGCGCAGGCCTGGGGCTGGGGATTTAAGCTGAGCATCCTGTGAGCGGGCTGCGAGAGGGGGTGGGAGTGTGGGCAGAGCTAGAGGGACGCTCCAGCCTCTCCAAACCGGCAGCATCCAGGGCAGCAGCTTAGCAGAGCCCTCTGCGCAGCAGCAAGGTGCAAAGCTGACTGTGCTAAAAAAAGCCCTCTTGACAGCTGGATGAGCTTAACCACACGCCGAGCCAGCCAGCGCCACTGCAAAGGCAGTCGGCTGGAAGATGGGGAGCAGAGCCTGGCCCCCAGGGGGGCACAGGGGCACCTTGGCAGCCCACCTGCCCATCCCTCCCACTCCCATCCTGACCCCCACGGCAGTCCCTTTCCAACAGATACAAACTGGCAAGCAACATGCTTCTCTTTGCTTTTGGTTTTGTATAAACAACCTGCCTTTGTTATTTGGTATATATATATATATATAGGTACATTACATGTATATCAAAAATAACTAGAGGAAACCACGGTGCACTTAAAGCTATTTGAGACGGTCCACCTGAAAGCAAGCACCCCAGGAAAGGGTGGAGTGACCCCTCGGGGGGAGCCCAGCCCTGAACGGAGATGGCATTAAAATGAGAATAAAAAAGGGACTCTCTGCTGGGATTAAAATGTGCCATTTGTTCTGGGGATAGAAGGAGCAGAAAGCCAGATTAAATCCTTGGAGCAGCCCAGAGGAGAGCAGAGGCTGAGCTGAGAGCGCACACCCGGGCTGGGGGACCCCCTCCTGGGCTCAAGCCACTGTGTGCACTTGAAATCATTCATGAAGTTTTCCTCTCCAGGAGTGACTCTGCCATCCCCAGGGGCCAGCCAACAAACTGGGGAAGATGGGTGCCCAGCACCATAGGGGATGAGAGTGGGTGCTCGGCACAGGGGTTCAACCCTCAATCGCTGTGATTGTCTGCTGCCTCCTGAAGCTGGGGAGCACCATTTTCCTTCCCACCCCACACCCCACTCACAAGGTCCCTGGTCCCACTGCCCATGATCCCCCGTGCACTGCACACAGCTAGGGTGAGCACAGCAGACGGGCACAGGGGTGACAGCCTGGGGGTCCCCAGAGGGGGCTGAGCCCAGGCATGGAGACAGGGTTCGGCACGGTGCAGTGCTGCACGGCTGAGGGCATCCTGGGAAGCAGGGCTGAGCACCTGGGAGCTATGGACACACGATGGCCAAGGGAAAGCGGCAGTGGCCCCGAAAGGGATCCGAGGACTAATCTCAGCAGTGTGCTGGCCTGGCGGCCCTGTGGCACACATCTCAGCCGCCCCAGGACCTCAGTTCAGAGCCCTTTGTTGAAGTAGACGGTCTCCAGCTGTGGGTCTTTCTCCTGTATCTGAGCTTGGACTTCAGGCTCCAGGCGGCTCACGGGCATGGAGCTGTCGAGGGGACACAGATACAGAGAATGGAGGGGGGATACTCACCAGTGGCTGCAGTTTGGGAAACCATCTGCTGCCACCCCTTCCCCACCTGCACCGTCCCCATGGCCCAGCACAGCCCTTTGGGTCTGCACTGCTGCGTGTGCACAGGCACGTGTGCGTGCACAGTGTCAAGCCTCTGACCACTCGAAGGAGCAGAAGCATCTCCTGGGAGTCAGAGAGCACGAGGAGCCCACGTACCCCCCGCCTGCACCCCCTGCACTGCCCCACAGGAGCTACACACGGTGCCTGTCCTTACCTTTTCTGCGGGAAGAGTGCGCAGCACAGCGGGGTTGCAAACACCAAGCTGCAAGGGAAGGACATGGGGAGGAGAAGCTGGTCTGCAAAAATCACCTGCTCCTACCCATGGCCTGACCCCGGAGCAGCACGGAGGCAGCTCGGAGCCATGGCGGGTGCTCAGCTAGGAAAGGGGTAAGGAGATGCCCTCTCCAAGCTTCAGACCCTGCATTCGGCTCCTGAAGTGGGGCAAAGCCTGTTCTCATCGGTGTGGGGAAACAGTAGTGCTTAACAGGAGCCCACAGAAGGTTTGAGAGACATCAAGATCGAGCAAAGCAGCTCCTGGCCTCTGGACCACATACCCCATCCCATCTGCCTGGGGAGAACACCAGCCTGGCCAAGCTCCAGCGTCTCCCTGAGGAGCTGTGGGGCAGCTCTCACCTCCCCTGCCAAGCAGAGCCCACAGCAGCACTGTCCCCCATACCCAGGTTCGGTCTGTGTCCAGGGCGGCGATGCCCATAGACAGAGGGTGACTTACCAGAGTCCCACGAGGCCGACCTGCAGGGGAGCATTCAGGTACGGGTACCGCTGCCAGGCACAGGGAGAGGCTGCACGTCAGTGGGGTGGACAGGGCAGGAAGGTGTCTGTTCCCCGAGGGGTGCCAGCCCCAAGGGGTCCCCACACTTTGACAAGCTAGGAGGGTGTCCCCCTACCCGTCCTCCCGCCCCAGGACCATCAGTACCTTCAGGAAAGCTCTCTTCTCCAGCATGTTCATGATCACTGGGGGGATGGCTGGAGCAGAGGGGAAGAAGATGAGCTCCCAGTGTTCAGAGCCCCCTGCCAGCTGTGGGACCCTGTCCCATGCTGTCAGGGACCGGCTGCAGCCCCCAGACATGGGTGGAGGAGGTGACACTCCCCCATGGCAGGGGCTGCCATGCCGATGCGGGACACCACCACCTGGAAAATGGCCTTCTGGGCTGCGGCCGTGGACTCGCCCAGACGGTTCCCGTTCTCATCCGTGATGGGGATCCCCAGCTTGAGCTCTCTGCAGGGAGAATCAGGGGGAGGGGGCCCCAGGGCAAAGGGGTGAGGGGATCAAGGGACAAGGCAAGGACACAGCACAGGGACACATCTCGAAGGGAGGCTGGCATCCTCCTGTATTCCCTATCCACTGCCTGCATAATAAGTTGGGTCGGTCTCAGCTGGATGCACATTCACACTTTGGGGGTCCTCAACAGGGCTGGATGGGGATGGGGAGTTCACAGCCAGATTAACTGACAACCCCTTGGGATGCAGCCCGGTGCTTGTACCCTCAAACCAACCCCCCAGGGTGAGGGATGCCAGCAGGGCCAGGAAGAAAGCCCCATGCACTGCTCCCAGGGCACTGCTGCCCCTGTCCCCCACCAGCGCCTGGTGAACCCTGACATGAACCTGAGCACCCCATCCCAGTCCCAGGGCTCACCTCTGCCTCATCAGCGGGATGTTGATGCAGTTGGCAGCAGCCACAGCCGCAAAAGGCACATACCGGCCGATGATGGCTGGCAGGTGCTAGAGGGGTAAGCAAGGAGCACATGAAGCAGAGTCTGCAGGCAGAGCTGGGGGTCCCTGCATCTGCCACCATCCCCCTGCAAGACTCTGGGGCTTCCCAGCCCCACCAGGGAAAACCATTCCCTCCTCCCCTGCAACTCCCAGCCGGTGAAAGCTGCACAGCCCAGAGGGTCACAGGGGTCCCATGACGCCTCCCAGCCCTGGAGGGAGGCTGAGGGGTGAAGGAAGCCTGAAGAGTTCCACCTGGGGATGGAGCAGGGCTGGGGGGACAGGCCATCTCCAGAGCTATCACTGGGGAGAGGGGCTGCCTTGTGTAGGTGCCCCCAAGAAACTCTTTTCCTCCATTTCCTCCCCTCCTCCAGGTGATGGGGTGAACCCCCTACACAGCTCAGAGCCCAGGGAGACCCCACGAGGAGGGTCCAGGTACCCCAGCCAGCAATGGCCAAGGGCCACTTACCTTGGTGAGAGATTTGAGCCCCAGTGCTGTGACAACTGCCCCCGTGGTTGCGCTCACATAGGCTGTTCCCAGCTGGCTGCAAGAGGAGGAGGTGACACCAATAAGCCAGAGTCCCCCCATCCCACCACCCCCCCCAAAGGAAGGGACAGCACGACCTTCAGTAGCAGCAGGACGCCTGGGTTACTCTCCCACCAACCCTGACAGTCCCACTGGTGTCCATCTCTGGCTGTGCCAGGTCCCCATCATCCCATCTCATGACGCCCCCATCCTTCAAGAAGCTGTTCAAGGCACCCCCTCAGCATTTTTGAGTGCCCTGAGGACCTGGTCAGAGGGACGCTTACCTGGGGGTGATGGGTGCATCCCCGCTGCGGTTGGTGTAGTTGACGATGGCGTTGAAGGACTGGTTGACCCACTGCCAGAACAGCACAGCCGGAGTGGTCCTAGCACAGAGAAGAGGGTGCTGGTGGCACCAGGGGATGCCACCCACTCTCTTATGGCATGGATGCACTGTGGGGTATGGGACATGTGGCCCCTCCTCACTCTAGGGCCAGAAGGGTGGCTGGCAGGGGAGGGGGGGAAGGCAGTCCCCTATCCCAGGCACCCTTG